CAATATGTTAGCTGTATGCCCTGTGGTAACAGGGCCATGGCGAATGATAAGCCGTGCTCCAAGCACAGGATTCAGAGAGGCCTCCAGAGACTTCAGAGGGGCTCAGGGGGAGCGAAGCTTAAATGAGTGGATGGATAAAATGATGCAAGCTGACTGGAGAAGTGCGATGAGTGAATAATGGATTCTTAACCAGCAGGAAGAATCTGCCTGTTAACTGCAGTGGAAAGGCTGGAGAACAGCGCTTTAGCAGAAATGAAAAAAGAGATACCAGCAGAAAAAGGCGGTCAGGTAGCGGCAATGAAGAAGACTGGGGAACAGAAGCCTCAGAGGTGACAGCTTGTCAAAACAGGGGAAAGAATAGTGAGCTGGCAGACAGCTAGGATAGCGAGACCCCGGTGATTCAGTGCTCAAATATTTAGGAAAAAGTTGTTTGTTAGGGCGAGTGTAAAGTGGAACAGAAAGCTAGCACTGAAAGCTCTAGCTCAATGACAGAGTACTGAATCTGCGGGAAGAATGCCTTAAATAGTCTGCTTAATTGCCTTATTCATTTTGGGATTGATCACTTGAATGAAAGACGGGCAGTCTTTGTGAAATGTGTCCCTTTTGCATTAACACAGGGTAGAAAGGAGCCTGAGGGCCTGTTTGAGTTGCCCGGGGCAATGTCAGGATGCAAGTTGCTACCGGCCAAAGAGTAACAGCGCCCCCCCTTAATGGCCTGTCTCCGCACTGCTCCCAAGGGCAAAACATAGCACATGTGAAAGGTCCATATCATATGCAGGCAGTTGAGTTGTTGAGCTGGGATCCAGGTACATTCTTCTGGTCCAAATGGTGGTCAGTACGGGCTTGGGAAGCAAAATGTGGAATGCTGAGGACAGTCTCTGCCCCAGGGGGCAGGTTAGGACAAGCAATGAGTGTTAGCGCTCACACGTTCCAGGATCTTGTATGGGCTGATGTATTATGAAGCCAATTTCTGAGATGGCAAACGGAAACAAAAATATAGAGTAAATAGCCAGACTCATAAGTGCCCCATAAGGGAGTCTTCTCATCTGCATCGATTGGCTATTCTCTCTTGCCACTGGGTTGCTTTACAAAGGTTAGCCAATATCACTCGCCAGACCCCCTCTGGGTCTTGGGCTGCTCTGTTGGTGGCCAGAACATTTCTGTTGAGAACCTAAGAAGAAATGGTTGGAACTCCTATTGACACTGGAATGGTGATTTGCCTGTGGAGGAGTCATTAAAATATTCAAAAGAATGTTACAAGGGAATTCCTCCCAGGGAATTGGGAGTCATCCTGGTACGCAGTCACGTGCCAGCGCAGGTAGATCTCCAGGTCTTGGTTAACCCTCTCTGTTTGCCCATTGGATTCTGAGTGGTAACCTTAAAGATAGTTCTGCAGAATCGGTTGAGAACCTGCCATATCCAGGGTGAGGACTCCTAGGAGATGTTGGTTTCAAAGGCAGGTCTTCTGGCAGTTGGAGCCTCTGGCGATGATCTGCCTACTTGCCCAGTCCAGATGGGGATTGTGAGAGCCAGGGAAACCCAAGCACTAATGTGCAGAGTGGCAAGGTGATTCAGAGGAGCTCAAGCTGTCCTGGGTGAACTCCCAAGGACAGAGTCAAAGGTTTTAAATTCCTCTGAATGGGCAGCAGGGGCAAACAGGGAACTAAAGGAATTTACAGTTATCATGCCTTGTAAGGTCGATGAAGTTCCCAGCACTCCAGAATATATAAATGCCTGCCATTTAGTTTGTCCCCATTCTAAGCTGGGAGAAAGCTTAAGTCGTCATGAGGGGTGAGGCACTGTCATCATTCTGCTTAGTAGGGACTCCTCTTCTGCAGGAGTGGGACTTTTCCTTGAAGAATGGGACAGCCACAGAGCTCCGTATCGTATCATATGGCCCCCCCTGCTAGAGGCTGAACAAGAGGTTGCCACAGCTCAAAACACTGAGCCGACTGCCAAAGTTGCTCCGCCAGATAAAAAAATCATAAGTACATACGGATGTTGCTTTTCCCATCTACCATGCATTTTCAGTAATATGGCACAGTCAGTGTGCAGTATGAGTTTGAGCACTGCTTATGGAAGTACGCATGCATTTTGAATTTCATCAAATTCTCATTAAAGAAAAGTACTAAAAATTAGTAAACAATCATTGCACAGCTCTGAAGTAAAAACCTGAGTCACTTACTGGTTTGACCTTTCTCCCAGGACTCCGTGATCACAAGGGAGCTCAGCTGCCGCAGCTCCTGTTGTGAGAGCTGGCCAGTGACACCAGGGAATCCTCTCAGCAGCCTGAGGACAGCCTGGTGCTCAGCTTGCGTCCTCTCTATAGGGCTGGAAATCAATGCACACCAGAGTCAGAGAAAGGATGCCCTTGGGTTTCAGATCAATACCCATAGAGTGTGACAGGACTGACCCAGATGTCATCACACTCTAGTGACTTTATCAGCTATGTAGAAATGAGAGGATGAAGTTTAAGGCTTACTGTATAGGGAAAATAGCAGAATGGTGAATGGAAAATGGAAAATGCCAGCAACTTGAAGAGATTCAAAGACATCAAAGGCATTAAACCAGTGAAGCACTGATCAAACTATTAGGACAGGAATATAAAAACCACCACCAATCCAAATAACCACCATCTTGTTTTACATACAGGCAGCATTTAGTCACTAACCACAATTATAGCTTTGTCACACAAAAAACTACAGAAATGTATGCTTCCATTTTGACTTTCAGACAGGACAGGACTTAACCACACAATGCACAACAACAGAAAGTATTACTGTAAAGTAGACCACAATGTACTGATTACAAATACAAGATGACCATCTTTTAGTTGATTTTCTGTTTGCCACTGCTACTTGATCCTCACTGCTCTAGCAGGGTTTAAAGTCAATCATTAAAAAAAGAAAACAACAATTAATTTTTTTTTAATGTTTTTAAAACATGTTAATTAACAATAGACACATTTAAATTATTTCATCTAACTTTCATTTTGAGAGACTTTAAACTATGCAAATACATTTAAATGAACATGTAAAACAGACACCAACAACTTTTTTGATCTCCAGCACCCTTTAGTAATGTGGTGTGATTTTACTTTTAATAAAACCAATATTTGTTACCGATGTTTGATACATTTGATCACTATTTGGAAATAGGTGTGCAATGTTTAAAAACTGTATTTGACTAATAAAGCTTGCAATTTGTCCTTTTGTATTTTGAGAGGAACGCTACAAACATCATTAATTTTGGGAAAATTGTACAAAATTCAGATCTCCACTTTAAAAAAATAATAAATAATTATTTAAAAAATATCCAAAAAAGATCTGCAAAGACTTTTTAGAGCTGAAGGAAATAAGCTATAAGGACAGACTGAAAGTAAATGTGTAAGAGAAAATTGGATTAAAGTCTTCTAAAGATCTAACTAAGCTAAACCAGCTGGTTATGGCTTAACTGGAGCAATCTGGCAGCTTTTCCCAGATCTTCGGGTGCCACTGCTTTAAAGAAACCTAAGAAAACCTGCAGATACACTGGCTTTTCAGGACTGGGATTGGACAGCTCTACTCTAGGTGATGTGGTCAGCTGAATGAGACAGGGGATTGTCCATAACACAAGCACTAAAGAGCTCAGTCAGTGTTACAGAACAAAAAATATGTAGCTGTTAAAATGTTTGCCACTCTAAATTCCCCTGCCCTTGATTTTGTTTCTTGCAATACTCATTAATATTCCTTTTTCAGTACGTTCCCATACTCTAGTTGTATGAAATGTATTCCATGTACAGCAACAGCTGTTTTACACTCAGTCTGGCTTCCTATCATTGAATGCTGGTCAGGTTCAGCCTCGAGCCCGCTATGTAGCCCCAGGATTCATTTTGGTGAGGTGACCTCTTTTTCAATCAGACATTTTGTTTTCAGTCCACTTCAATGTATCAAATCAAAATTTCATAGCAAATAATAGCACTTTCACTGCTTAATGTCTGAATTATTTTTCATAATTGCCCATGTGAACTTTATACTGGGGTCAGTACACTTTTAATTTCATAACACTAACACCAACAGCATTTGTACTGTTTTGATAATTGATCATGTTTTTCCGTTTAGTAATTGTAACTACAACTGATTATAACTAGACTTAAAAATAATTACAGTTACACAGTAAACAGTATTGAGGCAAAAGTGCAAAAAATAAAATACAGAACATATTCTGAAAACCTGTTTCTGTCCTAACCTCATCAGATTTTCAGATTTTATTGTACATATTTTCATGCTTTCGTGTAGCCTCATGTTACAGAAGAGAAGCAGCTGCAGTATTTTACTTGCTAATTCACAGCTGTTGCTGCTGTTATTTGGGGAGTAGTCATTGTTTCTTATGCCCTCAGCATTTCTAAAAAGAATGGAGTCACTTCCTCTCCTTCCATACAGCAAAATTAACTACAGCCATCCTGAGTAGTTATTTAATTAGTGAAAAATTTGAAGTGATTTTAAGCTGTCATTGTAGAAATTAAAAAAAGAAAAATCAGCATTATATTGGTGCATATCCTGTACATATCTGTTTATTTCTAGATATATAGATATATCTATTTTACTTTAGTAAATTAACTTGGAAGAGAAAACAATCTTGTATCAGATTATGCTTATATTTTAAATCAAATATGTGGTGCCTTAATGATGAACTGTTATCTGTAAGAGCTCTAACAAATAACTGAAGATGTGTATATAGACAACAAAAATGGAAATAGAGAAGATCATTTTATATTATATTTTTCTCATGCTTTTTTATTAGCTGTCATGAGTGAATCAGCTGAAAAATCAGACTCACACTATAGAAGTGTGGAAACTTACTTTTTAAATGTTTTCTACCCAAAATGGTTTTTATTTTACAGTGCTGTATGCCTAATCTTTTTGCTCAATATTTTGGCCAAACAATAAAGAAGAGCATTGTTTTAAAACAATTCCAGAAGTGTCCACATTACTGCATACTTGAAAACTTACAATATGTACACAGAATGCCCTTCACCAATATTAAGACAGAAAGTGTTATTTTTTGCTGTCTAGTCAATTTCTATTTGTGATAATGCGATAATAAGGAATAGCAGTAGGAATGATAAAAAAACATATTATGTTTAAATTTTGGACATTACCAAAATACAACCATATTTTAAAATAATGCATGTTCTTCGTGTATTCACAAATACTTCAAATTGCACATTTTAATTAGCTTTTTTAATGGGGGAAAACTTGCAGTTGTGTTTGTTATAAGTCTCATGCTTAAGATATGCAATGTGAACAGAGCCATTAAATTAACTTTCTGTGCTGCCTTTTGTTGAATTACTGATATTTTTATTGTTACTTCAGCAAGCCAAAGGGCAGCCTATGACATATTTTGTACAAGCCATATGGATCCTGTATTATATCATTTTTGCTCTTTGCCCTAAAAAACACGAGTCTTTCTCAGGATCTGTCACAAGTTTATTTAAAAAAAGATACCTGACCAAATCAGTTAAATGACATCTGTCACACTTACTCAAAAGTCTATTTCTTACAATTTAGTAAATGCGTCCTCAGGCTGCCCTGTACTTTGTACAGATAGAAAGAGAATGTCCCAATGTGTGAAGGTAGAAAACACAGACATCCAGTATCACTGGTAGAAGAAAGTACAAGAAAGACCCAAAAACAAAAACAAATCATAGCAAGCTGACACCAACTTGGATATTTGTGAACTCCTGTCAATATGTCTTACTGGATGTGTCTGGCACAAAGCAAGAAAGTGTACAACACACAAGAGCTCTGCAATGAGCAGTCATTGAACTCTTACACAGATGAACCTTTAAAAGGGTTTATAATCAGTCTCCAACCAACCGATTCCAAGCTATAAGCCACTTCAGCATTTATTATTATTGCTGTTTATGTGAGGATTGAATGAACTTGTTATCTGCTTCTGTTTATCTAGGACCAATGGCAAGACTTTAGGCCTTGAGTATCTGCCACTGAGCAAAGAGTTTTGTTTCCCGTGCCTTTGAGCAGGGATTCTCAGACACTGTGAAAACACAAGGTTGCTTATCTCAAAAACACAAGATATTCAGAAAAGTTTTGAAAGACTTACTGGCATTGGCAATCAAATGTTTTTAATCTCCACATAGCAGGTTAATGGCTTTTTAAATGTACTTAAAAATAATTTACAAAATTAAGCCCATCAACACAAAAATGAATCAATTAAATTTGTTAGTGTACACCTACAGCAAAACCTTTAAATTAAGGTCTCTAACCCTTTCATGATTATTTTTTCCCCTAAACATTTATCAGCAGAAAAAAATCTACTGTATTTTCATTCAACTACAATATCACCAGCGATATAAAAATGCACTATTATATGCACTATCTGAAGCACTTACAGAGTTTTCAAGTTCTCTGTCCAGAACACAAATAATGTAGCAGGTTCTGGACAGTAAAGTAGTCAAGTTCTTGATTGTGAAATAGAAAGTAGTTTAACTCACTGGTTACTTAAATACAACATCTATGTATGAACACCTGCTCTGGAGCTTAGCTGACCATTCAGAACTCTGTTTTTAAATCTTATTTTGTGATTAAAAGCTAATGACCTTATATCAAATGTTCCTATTCATTGTAGTCTTTTGTACTTAAAACACAACTTGTCTCTGTAATAACATTAGTTAGCAAAGCATCCCTAAAAATAATCACTGCTTCACAAGTCAATCTCATGGCAGTGAAGGATCAGAGTCACTACCCCTGCTCACGGTTTCAATTTTCCATTGTTCTCCTGCTGACACAAGACCACTCTGTCCATCTGGCAACACATCCTTGTTTCTAATTCTGCCTAACAAAGTGCATATGGTGTTTGTCATTCATTGTAGTTTCATCTCTCTAGGTGTCCCCCGAGTCTGAGACCCCTGCCAGTTTCAATTCTCTGTTTCTGCCTGATAAAGGTTTGACTTCATCCTGCCCTGGTGAGGTGCAATAAGGGCTGTCAATGATTCGGGATGCAAATGAAAGTTTCCATCTAAAAGGTTTGCGTTCCCTAATTAAAGCGATAGGTTATAAATTCAGACATGCAGAATTGCACTCTCTTTCTTTTTTGCAATCTTTCTTGTTGCAATTACTGACAGATTACTATTTTTCATGTTTGATGATGAGCCCTGGACAAAGAGGAAAGCCTTAGGAAAGCTGGGAACCTGCGAGTGTCATCTCTAGGAGCGTAATCATAACAGATGGAAAGTATGAGTGAGACATGAGCCCTCACTCAGCCTGAAATATTGCTGAAGTCCCAGCCCCACCCACACCATACCCACTCCGTCTGTGATAACTGTGGGCTGA